AACATTTAGTTACTAAATGCACTGACTGATGCTGTCCGTTTGTTGTGTTACTACATAGTCATGGCAGAAGGCTTCAGTGCAAGAGGTGGCAAAAATATCATGTCACGATTTTTTTATTATAAAATCACGATTTCGGTTTTATTGCGATCTTACGTGTATTTTTGAGACTAAGTGCAGCTGGACCACAGATCACTTATTGTTGCAGAAAACTGGACGTTCTGAACTCTGTGATCAATCTTTTCTCGGCATTCAGAGTAGAGACGTGGAATGGCAGTGTTGGATAAGTATTTTTGGCTGGGCAGCTCGTACCGCGGGTCAACTGCTTTGATCAGGCATTTGAACCCCTTGTTTTCTACTGTCTTGAACGGAACCATATCTTTTGCGAGATAAAAGGTAACTGCTTCTGTTACGTCTTTCCACCGCTTGCCTGTGTTCTCATACGGAGTGCCTTCAGCAAAAGCCCGTATTAACGTTGTCTGTTTGGGTCCAGCTGCTGCCGGCGGTCCCCTGCTTGGCTCTCAGCATACTGTTTAGGGTGCTTTCTCTTCAAGTGATTGAACAAGTTTTTCGTGTTGCCATCCGACGTGCAAACTGTGTCTGTGCAAACTTTGCAAATTACCTTTGTTTGCACGTTGTCACTTGGGGAAAAGTCAAAATGAGACTCTCAGATATTATCAGAAACCACTAATGCAATCTCAGGGGGGCCAAGCAATGTACTAGGAACCACTGGTAAACCCACAATTATTAATGACTCGATAAAATTGAGGCATAAAAACTTGATTGGGGCCGTATCTAATGAGAAGGCACCTTATGACACAAAATGCCTTTAGCTGAATTTACAGTTTAGTAGGTTCTTGTTAAGTCTTCTACAGTTGTCATGGAAGGCTGATGAAAGGTCATCTGTCTATGTGTGAAAGAACATGTCCGGTGAGGTCTTCATTCCGGTGTTGTCGGCAGTAGAGGAGTACTGATCCTTCAGAGTGTCCATCTTGTATTCAGCAGAGATGTGACCAAGACAGGCGGCAAGGTGGACGGTGGCTTTGAACCTGGACGACAGCAGCACCAGTGACAGCGCTAACATGATCACCGACAGTGGGACGCAGCGCCCTCTTTCTGCCGGGAGGACGAACGGGATGACGATGCGGTTTCTGCCCGGAGCTCCGTGTTTTTCTGAAAAGGATTTGTAGCTTTTCCACACGCCGTCATCTGGAGTGAGAAACCCAATGATGATGTTCGGGATCATTTGTCCTCCAGCTCTCTTCAGGGAGTTCCATTGGTCTGGCAGGTTGGAGGGTTGATGCTTTCCATCAGGAACTGGACAGCACTCTCGCATCTCCGGCTTCTTCAGGGAATTGCTCACATTCAAGGCCCGATATTTTTCACCAGGAAACTTGAGCTGTTTTTTGGTGCCGCAGTAGAAAACTCTGTGGTGAAGTTTCAGCCTGCCGGTAGCGATGCCATACGTCACGTCAGCCGTGATGTTGCAATTCCAGGGTGTGTAGAGGACGACGTCAACAATGGAGTCCAGAGGCAGCAGGCAGCAGGCGGGAATCATCGTGTCTCTGATGGCTCCATGAGCCACCAGGGTGATGTCAACACTGTCATCGTGGTTCTTCTTCTCCTCCTCATCAATGTGTCTCTTCAGGAAGTTGAACATTTCCACGAGTTCGGAGAAGGCATCAGACTCTGCATTTTCTCTCAACCACTTCAGAATGGTTTGATCTTTGCATTTTTCCAACGCAGCTGTTATTAATCTTTTTCTTTCGCACAAACCCCCGATGTTGTCTCCAAAAGAGTTTAAAACAATCATACTGGCCCTCCTGTGAAAACATCAAAAAAGGAAAAGGAAAGGGAAATTATTTTTCACATCTACAGACACCTGTTACTGCGATACCAAAGCAAAAACAGACAATTTTTTAGATATCATCTGATATGTATTCTTGTTTGTTTTATCTAATTTTCTGGGGGTTTATTCTGTCCATCCATTACACAATCAAACTTGATATTTTGCTGACTATTTTTAAATCTCACTATTTTTTTAAAAAAATCAAAAGTTTTGACTCCAGAAAAAAATATGCGTGAAAACTCAAAAAAATTCCTCTATCCCCTTTGGGCAATCTTTGTTTTTATTTGAGATTAGGGTGCACTTAGGCTCCACAAGCTCCAAAAGACTGTGAAAACCTGTATTCTCTACATGCAAGTCAGAAAATGTTAATTATCTGTAGTACCTGGTTGTTCCACCAGGTGGAGCCTCTTACTGTTTCATACTATAGAGACCAGAGAAGGCATCACTTTGACTATAGGCAGTTTGTGTTGGCAAGCAGAGAGCATTGTGGGAGTTTTACTAGCAACGGGCACCACGACAAAGACTTATTTAAAGCTAAATGAGTTCCGGCTAGTGCTAATGTGTTTAATCCCACCAAGATCAACTTGAACGATATTCTTGCATAATGTAGAAGGTGCCTCTGTGACCTGTATCATGTCTCTGTGACTTTAAAACAATATCACCATGGGAAAATGAGCAATGGGGTACCATGACAAAGATTTGGTGACAATTAATATCTACAACTTGTGCCCACCTTTTCAACACCTGTTTGGTAGCTGATGCAAATCAAAGATTGGGCCCAAATAAACGACTGCCATATTGAAGTTCGAAATGGTCGTAGAAAACAGCTCATGCAGATAAAATAAGTTGGTTTCAACTTGGGCAAATCAGACATTAAAACATTTTATTTTACTGTTTTCAAACTAATTTTGTGTTGCACATGAACTGCTGAGTGAACTGCAAGATCACATCGGTAAATTGTGTCTGTGGATAAGTAGATGTTGAATCGGTTTAGTGGCAACAGACAGCTGCAGGGGAAATAACTGCAACAATCAAGTCACTGTCTCTCTTTACAGCAATGCAAAACTAGCAAAGAAAACTATTCATCAGCAGGCACGAAGGTTTAGCTCCTGTTGTAACTGTGCCACTAGTTAAAACGTTAGTCTGGAGCACCGTAAGAGGATAAAATATGACTCTGTATCAGCTGATACTAAATATTTAGATTTGGAGCAAAGAAACTCGATCGGGACATCTCTCCTGCTCAGAATCTTTAAACAAACTGAAAGTAATACTGTTCATGTAATACTTTAATAGTGCACTTAATCCAGATGTTACTACTTGACTTCAGCAACTCGTTTTTTGAAAAATGTTTTAAAAAGTCCAAAGACATCTCTTAAATAGTTTTGTTAATTTTCAGAGACTCACAAAGTTTCCAATTGTCTAGACATCTCCTTCAAAGCGGCCTGCATGTCTCTCAGGGCCCTGTTTGAGTAGCTCATGTTTCGTAGATAATCAGCTCAGGAGCAGAATTCAGGAGTTCAGCTCTTCCTCCTACAACCTGCAGATAAACAACACAAAGATTTTCATGTTAAAAACGAAATGAAGAATCATAATGTTTTGCAGAAACATTTTTCTGGCAGCTTCTCAGCACCATGACTCAAGGACAGATGTTTTTGGAATAAGTTCTGCTCAGTTCTGATTGTGAGTTAATTTTCTTAACAAGAACTAAGATGAAAATTAGTTTTGATGACAAAACCAAACTTGAAAATGAAGCAACATTTAAAAAAACAATAATCTAAACCTAGTCAAAAAACTAACTCCAGGCCCAGTTAAAACAAGGTTCAAAAACAGGTGTTAATCCAGTCCAAAACCAGGTCCAAACTGAGTCTATAACCAAATCTAAATCCAGTCCAAAACAGGTCAGAACCAATCCAAAACCAAGTCTGAGCCCAATCCACAACAAATCCAAAACTCAGTCCAAAGCAAAGCCAAAACCAAGTCCAAGCCTAGCCCTAAGTCCCCAACCAGATCTTGACTCTAGACCCAGTCCAAAAGTAGGCAGAACCAGTCCAAAACCAATCCAAAGCTAAGTCTAAAACCAAGTTTAAACCCAATCTAAACCTAAATTCAAAACCAAGTAAAGCCCATCCCAAACAAAGTCCAAAAACAGGATTAAACACGAATTAAAACTAATTTCCAAGTCCAAGTCCAACCTAGACTAAGTCCGCAACCAAACCTATCCAAAACTAGTCAGGACCAGCGCAAAACCAACCCAAAGCAAAGTCTAAAACTAAGTCTAACCTATTTATAGATACATTGATCCACTGAACTCACTAAAATATCCCGAAGCAGCTNGTGAGGGGAATTCGGTGCTCAGGGGCTCGTGAAGATGTCCGTTTACCCGTGGTGGTGTGTGCTCTGTGAATCTACCCGTGATGGTGCTCGTGGCTGAAGGTTCTCGTGGAAGAAACTCGGCAGGCATGCTGGGGAAAAACGCTGAAGCAGGAGCCTGGAGAAAACGTTGGAGGCACAGAGAAAAACAACAAACGCATTACACTAATGAAACTCAAAAAGTAGAAAAGCTTCGCTCAACGCTGTGTACTAAGTGGCCGGACTGTACCACAGTGGGTAAATCACAATCCTCTGGCGCTGGAGTCCTGTGAGCCGTTTAGTAATTAAGGTTTAGTAATTCTTCAGTTCATAACAGTGTCCTTGAATCCTACCTGGTCTGCAGCAGGTGAGTCTGTGGAGAAGACAGAGTCTGGAGCTCAGTGTTCAGTTTTTATCACACCATGTCAGCCGCTTCCTATTGGCTGATGTAGGTGAAAGAGAAACTGCAGAAAGCACCGTGGTCACCACCGGGATTTCCAAACTGACTAAAAACGAAAGTTTAGTTCGGTATACTGTCCAGATAGTGTTGTTTATCACCATCACAGATCCAACTGGTATGAGGAAGGGACGAATATTAACCCTCAGGGGATATTGGAGACATTTTTGTCCTCTAATGTCCTCAAAGGGTAGTAAATGAAAGCATCCCCTGAGGGTTAGTCTGTGTGGAAACATGAAGGCAAAGTCATCCTCTTGTGTTGTTAAATTGAACACGCAGACAGCATGGAAGCTGCNGATCCACTGAACTCACTAAAATATCCCGAAGCAGCTGTGAAACAAACAAACTAAACAACAACCATAACAGTGTCCTTGAATCCTACCTGGTCTGCAGCAGGTAAGTCTGTGGAGAAGACAGAGTCTGGAGCTCAGCGTTCAGTTTTTATCACACCATGTAATCCGTTTCCTATTGGCTGATGTAGGTGGAAGAGAAACTGCAGAAAGCACCGTGATCAACACCGGGATTTCCAAACTGCCCAAACACGCCAAAAAGCTAAAGTTCATTTAGGTTTACTGCCCAGATAGTGTTGTTTATCACCATCACAGATCCAACTGGTATGAGGAAGGGATATTAATCTGTGTGGAAACATTCAGGCAAAATCATCCACTATAAACCTCTGGGTGTCTGTAAAGTCTAAACCAGTCTATAACCAATCCAAAACTAATGCCAAAACCAAGTCAATGCAAAACTCGGTACATGACCAAGTCCAAACCCAGTCTAAAGTCAGAAAACAGGTCTACGCCCGGTCTAAGTTCATCAGTCTTCAGGTTCTGAGTAAAGCAGCTGACATGAAATATTCTATATGCATCATTACTTAGTGATTAATTAGTGCGTGGCCCAGGTGAGCTTCAGGTAATGACATTCATGTATAGTGATGTTTATGCACCTGTCAGACTATAAACCTCTGGATGTTTGAGGACTAACAGCAGGTTTGTATGTAGATCATAGATTAACCTATTTTAGTCATGTTATTATTAAAAGTGTAAACCCCAAACAGACCTGTGTTACAGCTTTAGTAATTCTTCAGTTCATAACAGTGTCCTTGAATCCTACCTGGTCTGCAGCAGGTGAGTCTGTGGAGAAGACAGAGTCTGGAGCTCAGCGTTCAGTTTTTAACCACCGTGTCAGCCGCTTCCTATTGGCTGATGTAGGTGAAAGAGAAACTGCAGAAATCCCGGTGGTAACCACCGGGATTTCCAAACTGACTAAAAACGAAAGTCCAGTTCGGTGTACTGTCCAGATAGTGTTGTTTATCACCATCACAGATCCAACTGGTATGAAGAAGGGATGAATATTAACCCTCAGGGGATAT